GACACTCGAGCGTTGTGTTCTCCACTCGAGCGGGAGAGTCGTATATCAGTTGGCAGCTAGGCTATTTTAAATCACTTTTTACATTTCCTTTCTCTCTCTTACTTTCCCAAAACCGATTTTTGAGAGCTCCTCACTCTAAAACCTAACTTCTCTCTAGGGTTTGATCTAGTAGGAGTGTTTTCCTCACCTTGAGCCTTTGTAAGAAGTGTGTTGATCATTGAGGGCTACATTTTGATCTGAGAAATTTGGTGTTTGGAGCACTTCCGAGTTTAGCTCTTCTTCTCCTTGGGTTCTACATTTGAGGTAGGGATTTCCTTGTTCTTTTTCAATACTTCTTCTATAGATAGACATGTGGTAATTTTGTATTGCATGAAAATCATATCCACGTTGGATTTGTTTGAAATCATGAGAAGGAACCTAGGGTTAGGTGTTTGAACAAAATGGTTATGTTATCATTGATGGTTGTTTTGGGCTAATTGGAGTGTAAATTAGCATGTTGTAGTTGATAGAGGAAAAAGCCCTAAATCATATTTTGATTGATAAATTAAAATGGAGGGTAATTAACCTATATTGTAAATCTCTAGTGTTGATGTGGGTTGGGTGAAGGTGCTAACGCCTAAGGGGTTAACTTTGGCTTTGGAATGGTTTGAAATGAATATAGTGGATTAATGTGAGTTATGACTTTATTATCAATGGAAGTGGTTTTGTAAAACAAAAGGAATGAATTTGGTTTTGTGACAACAAAAGGGACGGAGTTGGTTTTGTGAAAACAAAAGGGAAGTCGAACTTGTTTTGTGAAATGGGAAAAGTATTTTTGAAATATGTATGAAAATTGGATTGTTGTTTCATGAGTGTTGAACACACACATGTGTGGGATTGTATCTTAAACTACCATGTTAATGTTGTTGTCGGGTTTGTGGTCTCATAGTCATTGAGTCTTTAATAGATGTACTAAATATTTGCATCTAGAGGTTTTGTCCTTGGTCATCGGTGGAGGATGACACAGTTGAGTTGAATGGTCGTGTATGCATCATACCATTATTGATTGAACATCATATGTGATGAAGTGTTGAGATACATTATATATGTATGCTTGCTCGGGAGGAGGTAGTTATGTGTTCATATACTTTAACACATTGCTTGTATCTTGATGGTTTGTGTATACGTGTTATACATGTTGGTTATGCCCTGTTGCATTTCGATTGGTGGTGTTATACCTTGCGCTGAGAATCAAAGGTACCATGACCTTCCAGCTAGTGCCTGGAGAACTGACTGCGCTGAGAATATAAGGCACCATACCCTTCTAGCTAGCGCCTGGTAAACTGGCATGTTGTTGTGATGGGTATATCTTTGGCTTACTACGCACATAGCTAGTAGAGCAATGTTTTGTTGTTGATATTTCAGTATGTTTGGGAATATCATGGATTGTGTTGATTACGGTCTTGGAGGGCCGAGTTGCCTCATTGGTTTATCTTATGCATGTTGGTGAGTTGTTATCTCTTTTTATAACAATGCATGTATAGATTTGATTGTATGGGGAAGAAGCCAAAATGTCATATTTGTCTTTTGGAAAGTGTGAAGGAAAACGGATATTTTTAAAGAAATATATATTTTGAACAGACATAATTGTGTATGTTTGGAGAATGGAAGAGAGTAATGGGCTTAGTGAAATTATTTCCTAAGGTATTGTTAATGTTATGAAAGATTGGGAACGGGGATTAATGGAAGGAAAAAGGGAAGATGAATCGCTTATGGCGTTGATTGAAATGGTTGTTTTCGAGAAAAGTGCAAAATTATGTATATTTTGTGTAAACTGTCACATTACTATTCTAGTATGAGATTGAGCATTCATGATCATAGCTATCTATATGTTGTTATTGTTGAGGGCCATGTTGAGATCCCTACTGGACTATATGTTCATCCCACGTTGTTGAATCTTTTTTTTTCAGGTGTTTAGCAGGATATCCTAGAAGATTTGGATCTTCTTATTTGTTGGCCACGGGGCCTCTTTGTTGTAGGCGGAATGCCATATATGTAAAAGGGTTGTACCCTTCACTTGATTATTTAATGTTGTAAGTCGGAGGGCAACTTATTCAGAATACTCATGTTGTATTTAATTAGCATTCGAGAGAGAGAGTTGTTGTTCACTCTTTTTAGTTGAACATTTGAGTTTATTTCCGTATGTTATCTCTGAAATTGAATTAAGTTAATGAACTTGGTAATGACTTCGAGTAATAAAAAGAGGGGCGTTACAGTATATGACCAAAAAAATTATGTTCATGAATTTTATTTTTAAATTTTTACAGCTAAATTTTTACGTAAACAATATTTATAAACAAAAATGTTGTTTCCTTTTTGAGATTCAAAGTTTTAATTTAATTTTTTTAATTTTAAATATAAAAAAATATTTATAATTATATTGATTTAAAAGATTTTGAATTTTCAAAGTTCTAATTCAAAAAATATTTACCAATTTAAGATTTAAATAAATAAGTGGGCCAAATAAACTATGATATGCATTTTATTTTATTTTTGAATTTTCCCATTAAACTATAATATGTATTTTTTATTTGTAAGAATTTAGAATACACAATTAAAATTAGGAAAATAATTTTAAAAATGTTAAAACTTAATTGATTCTAAATTATGTTTCTTATATATTTTAAACAAATTTATATTATTATTTAATTTTTTGATTATGTTATTACTTAATTGATTTTTTTTTTTATTTAATATACATATGTATATTGGCAAATGATTAGATGGACGTACATATATATTGCATATTGATGGGCATAGAGACAAAATAGACATTAATGTATGTTACTTGCTTATATCCCATAACTTTTTTGTAAAACAAACATGGATAAGAAATATTCAGTATTATATCATGAACTCAACAAACATGAGCATGTGATATGTTATCCAATCCATATATCCTATTCATTGCATATACTGAGTAAATCCCAAGGCATATTATATTCTTCATTTTATATCCGGACATGTTTGTTTACCGGATATAAAAGTTAAATATAGGTGTGAGACCGGATATAATATGAGATGAGGTTTACATGTTTTTTTTTTTTTTCCCTCCTTATATCCCATGTTTGGTTGCTTTGGATATAGAGAGTCCATATAGTATATGATGCAAAAGGATCGTATTGTATATCTCCACTGTCGGATATAACTCATCTTTAATCTAAAAGTAAAAAATAATCACTTCCTTCTTATATCCTATCTTAACCAAATATAGTATAAGTGACTGTACAGTATATATAATTCATCTCATATCTTATAATATATTATATGTCATCTTTATCTTTAAGTATTACATATCTTCTTAAAATCTTTATATCCAATCCAAAACATCAAACTGCCTTAGACGAAGCCAAGCAACTTTACAACAAGCCAAAGTGGCAAGCATTCCTAAACCAACCTTCATTAATTCCAACTGAGTATCTCCCATTCACTCACTCTATTCATCGTTCAAATCCTACTATGAGATGGAACATTTAAATGGGGAGTTGAATTTGATGCTGCTTTTTTTTGTAATACGAAACGAAATGACCTGTTCATTGCATATTTGCGCGCAATGAAATACACAGAAAATATATAGGCTGAATGTAATTGAATTTTTCTTTTTAGTATTTTTGGCAAGTGAAGACAATTTAATTTCCCTAAATGGAATAATAAATGAGCAATGTTATACATAATCTCATTTCTTATTTTTTTTTCTTCTCAACTTTAGGCACAAAGCAATGAGCCCACAATCATAAATGCATACCAAATCCATTCACTTGTGTCTTAGAGTTAGAAAAAAAGGTAAAAAATATGATTCGAAAAAAATAATTGAAAAAATTCAATTTATGAGTGTTTTAGATAAATAACAAATTATATACATATTTATACATGTGTGTGTATTTAAACAAATCAGTTCCATTTCAAATCAGGACCATAATTATAAGACAACAATGATTCATACTACTAAAAAAAAAAATCACTAATAGCATTGATGCATTGAGAATGCTAAAAAAAAGAGCATAGGTAGTGGACATCATTAGTGGTGCTATTTGAGCAGCACTTTTAATGCTCTCAACCATTTTTGACTACAAAATCACAAACTGAACTATCAGGTACGATTTACTTATTTTAATAATTAGGAACCATTTCTTGAGAAAATCAAACCAAATCAATTCGTAAGGTTGTGGTCTAGACCTAACCGATTTGTAATTTTTATTTTTTGATTTTTTCCTAATATATTCCATAAAGATGTTGCTAGGCAAGTCTCATTTAATGCATGGTATGTCTTTTCTTTCTTTTTAGTGGTTGACATACAAATAAAATTTTGATATAGAAATTATGGGCAAAATGAGTTGATACTTTGTGGTTTTTTCATTTTCAATCAAAACACCTATTATTATCATTATAATTTTATAAATGCGATTGACAAATCATTCTAAATATGTTTTTTATATGAATTTTATGTCTATAAATCACATTTCTTTTTCTTTCTTTTTTCCCTAACAATGTATTGTGTTGTCCTAAGTAGAGGTGTAAATTAAATGAGTCGGACCAACGCGGCTCATTTAGAGTTAGGCCTAACATGAACGAGTCTAGGCGTACTATGCTAGGCCAATGTTTTGGGCCCAATACCACACGTACTGATGGGCTACGACACACCATAAGCCACATAATAGGCTCAAGAAAAATTATTTCATTAAATTTTGAATAATTCTACATATATTAACAGTCTTATTAAAAATCTTATTAAAAGCACAAGAGGATAAATAAGATTCATTAAGATAGGATATAATGGCTAGATTCAAAGTTGAAATTTAACTTTAAAAGGCACTCACAAAACCATTCTCTACTACTATGAATGACTGTGTGTGACTTGAATAGTCAATTTTTCAAACCTTGCATACATTTACATATAAGTTATTGATAATCCAAATACAAGATGATGGCAAATGCATAAGCTCTTACATCATACATAACAATTAAGGAGTCCAATCGTTGAATTTTGACCATGTTGCCTGAGCCGTATTATCACCGCTGAAATAAAAGCCATCATCTCTAACACTCCAGTAACATGTATTAAACTTGTAGCAATAATCATCATCTAGTTTCCTATCGTAAACATTAAAAATTGCATCTTTGGTATCCCAATAAAAATGGCAGAAGAAGAGAGTGGTTTTTATAATGTTGGGTTTGAATCTCCAGTAGAATTCTTCACCACTTTCAAGCTTATGCATTCCGAAATCATCGTCTTTTGATTGGCAACGAACTAGCAAAAAGAAGTGAGAGTTGGTTAGAAGATCGTTGATGATATGAACCTCATATGTTGGAAAAAGAGCATCACCACCCATGGTGGTTGAGCAAAGCAAAAGCAAGAGAAATGTGAAGATGATCAAGGGAATGAATGACTTCTTCATATTGTATCTCTCTAGTAATGTAAGAATTATATTTTTTATTTTTTTTTTATCAGCAAAGAAAAGGAAACTTTATTGATGAGATAAGCAAAACACGCAACAAAGTACATCAATAAAGGAGGGAAGTGCAAAAGCATCATAGCTAACACTCCACAATCCCAACTAGGTTGGCACTAAGGAGAAAGCACAATCATCTGCTAGCACTAGACCCACAGATTGGCGAGAAGCCAATCCAAAAACAAAGAAAAATAAAAACAGAGGTAAAAACCAAACAACCACAGCCTTCCAAATCTGCCAACTCCATCCCCAACAAACACCAGCACTTTATGGCCAAAAAACAGCACCAGGACCAAAACCATGAGTAGCTCTTCAACTAGAAACCATAGCCTCAACCAGCATTTATGCAACAGAACATCCGCAACAGAGCAGAACATCAGCACCTCTCACACAGATCATCCTATGCAGCAGCAGCAGCAACCAAGCTACCAAACAACCATCCTACAATCAGATCATCCTACAACCAAAGCATCAGCAGCCATCAAAACAACCATGGAAACAGTAGCTGCAAAGTAGAAACACCCAACCATACAGCAGCATTATACTAGAAACAGCTACAATACGGCAAGAAAGAACAATCAACCCCTACCTAGACACCTTCTAATCTGATATAGGTTATAAATAAAATCACTCACTGGGTATTGCCAATCCTTTGATGATGAACTAAGCCAAAGGGCCAATCTAGTTTTGATAAGCTCAACTAAGACCTCTACATCAGCACTAGCCTTGTTGAAAACACATTCATTCCTTAACTTCCATATAGACCACATAGTTACAAGAGGGATTGATCTCCAAAACACCTTTTCTTTTTTCTTAAACTCTCCTCCCTCCCACCAATGCAACAAAGACACAACTGAATTAGGAATTACCCAATGAATCCCCCACCACTTTAACACTGATGACCACACCTTCCACACAAAAGGGCAATGAAGGAGCACATGTGTAACCGACTCCAAATCTTTTTGACAGAAGCAACATAGAGTACAATTTCTACCAGATAAGACTCCAATTCTCTGTAAGAATACAGAAGTCTTTATCTTGTGTTTCCAAGCAAGCCAACCAAAGAACTGAACTCTAGGAGGTAAGACCTTATTCCATAACAAACCACTGACCTTAAGGTAATTTCCACCCTCCAATGAACAAAGTTTGTACAGGGAAGATACCGAAAAAATACCTGATGATGTGGCTGACTGTTCTGGGTAATCAATTCTATCCAAGCTTACTGAAGGACCATATGAGAGAGTAGAGAATAATCTCTGCAATTCCACCTTTTCCCATTCAAACAACTCTCTTCTAGGTAAAATACTCCACTCCCCTAAGGAATCCTTGAGATTTGCAAACAGATGAAGAGAACCCCTCTTTTCCTTTGATAAGCTGCACAATCTTGGGAATTCTATTTTCAAACACTGGGAGTTACACCATACATCCTCCCAAAATCTGACCCTACAACCATCCCCCACCCTTACTTTAAAATTATTTCGAAAACACTCCACTAGAGAAGGGTGTTGATTAGCCACTGAGCTAATATCAATCCATAATCTTGACTGCAAAGAACTGTTCCCAAGAAAAGGAAGCTAGGTACACTCCTCCAAATTATATTTACTGCAAATCACTCTCCTCCACAATGCTTTTGTCTCAGAAGCAAATCTCCACCACCACTTAAGTAACAAGCAAGAATTTGTAATTCTGACCTTTCTAATCCCCAAACCTCCTTGATCAATACTTCTAGTCACTTCCTCCCATTTGACTAAGTGGATTTTCCTTTTGAGATCTGAGCCTCCCCAAAGGAAAGCAGATTGAACTCTTTCAAGATCCTTGGCTACCCCCTCAGGCATTCTGAACAAAGATAAGTAGTAAATAGGTAGGCTTGCTATGACTGATTTAATCAAAGACAACCTTCCAGCGAAAGACAAGAACCTCCTCTCCAACCTGCTAACCTAGCTTTAACTTTATCAAGGATTGGTTTCCATGTCCTCCTCCTACTAGGGTTTGCCCCCAACGAAATCCCAAGGTAATTCAATGGTAATGAGCCAGCCTTACAGTTAAGTTTACCAGCAAGTTCAACCAAAATATCTTCTTTCACACCTACACCACAAACCACACTCTTATGATAATTTATTTTCAGCCCTGATATAAGTTCAAAACATCTTAGGATTCTCTTGATGTTCACTACTTCCTGAACTTCAGCTTCACTGAATAAAATTGAATCATCAGCAAACTGCAGGTGGGACACAAGTACACCATGAGTCCCAACCTTAACACCCTTAATTAAATTCTTTTCTAGAGCTCTGGACAGTAGTATATTTAAACCTTCTGCCACTATATTAAATAGAAAGGGGGAAAGAGGGTCACCTTGCCTTAACCCTTTTTAGGGACAGAATTCTTCAGTGGGAGAGCCATTCACAAGGACTGAAACCTTAGCTGATGTAACACATTCTCTTATCCACGCTATCCATTTATCACCAAAACCAAATCTTGATAACATTGAGAATAGGAACTCCCAATTGACTGAATCATAGGCCTTTTCAAAATCAAGCTTAACTATGACACCCATCTTCTTTGCCTTCTTCCACCCATCAACCACCTCATTTGCTATTAATACTCCATCCAAAATATTTTTGCCATTTAAGAAAGCAGATTGAGCCTCACTGATTATTTCTGGCAGAACACTCCTAAGTCTATTTGATAACACCTTAGATAGAACCTTGTAAACTGAGCCCACTAGACTTATAGGCCTAAAATCTGACAATCCCACTGTATTCTCTTTTTTGGGAACCAATGTTATAAAAGAACTATTAATACCTTTGACCAATTTACCATGAGTGTGAAACTCTTTCATGAATTGGATCAAATCTCCCTTCATTATCTTCCAATGCTTCTGGTAACATAAAAGATTAAACCCATCTGGTCCTGGAGCCTTGTTTCCTTCACAATTTTTGATGGCTATCCAGATCTCATCCTCTGAAAATTCTGATTCAAGCAATTCAAATGCTTGACTACTCCTTACAGTTTTGAAAACACCCTCTAATGATGGTCTGCATTTCCATTCCTCTGAAAAATGCCTGATGAAGTGCAAGCCTACCTCCTGTTTGACTTTCACAGGATCTTCATACACCATATCTCCCACAGTTACTGAATTTAGCCCATTTCTGCTCTGTCTACTAGTAGCCATGATATGAAAAAACCTTGTGTTCTTATCACCCTTCAATGCCCAGTCAAGTCTAGCCTTTTGAAGCCACATCCATTCAACCCTTCTACTTAACTTCCAAGCCTCACTTAATACTTCTTTTCTTCTTGTCTTCTCAATCTCCTCTAAATCTCTTGTTTCTGCTAGCAAGTCAAGCTTATGCAATTCCTCCTCTACTGACTTAAGCTTAGTAGGGACATCCCCAAATACTTCTCTGTTCCACTTTCTCAAAGCCTCTCGAAGCAATTTAAGCTCACTATGTAGGATAAAACCTGCCCACCCAACTACTGTAGCCTCCATCCAAACTTTCTCCAGAAAACCTGAGAACTGCGGATGTAAGATCCATGCATTTATGAATCTGAAAGGTCTAGGACCCCAGTCCCTATCATCCTCCATAAGAATTAAAGGGCAATGGTCTGATAGTAATCTAGGTAAACCCCATAGTTTGAAATTGAACACTTCTAGCCACTCTGGATTTACTAAAAAACGATCAATCTCACTGCACTTTTCTCCCTCATGAGCATTACACCAAGTGAACTTCCTACCTAACAGAGGAATATCTGACAATTCACATGACTCAATGAAATTGTTGAAATCCCTCATACCTCTATCCCTCCTAGAGCAGTCTATCCTCTCACCAATACTTCTGATTTCATTAAAATCACCTCCTATACACCAGGGCTTAGGGAAAACAGACTTCAACCCACCCAGAATATTCCAAAGCTTCTCTCTCCTACCCACTACATTAGGGGCATAAATATTCACAATAACACACTCAAAAGAATTGAAAAGAGTACCTGAAATCAGAATAAAGCTCCTATTACTGCAGCAGTCTGACATCTGGAATACTCCAGGATCCCAAATACATAGGAGACCTCCAGATGAACCTTCTGAATCTACACACAAAAATTCCATTTTATCTTTAGGCCATAGAGCTTTAACATCCAAATTATTGCAACTATTTAGCTTTGTTTCTTGGAGCAATACTATATCAATCTTTCTATCAACAATCAATCTTCTAATCTTTCCTCTCTTCTCCCTCCTACCCAATCCTCTGCAATTCCAAGAAAATATCTTCATTAGGGAACAAACTAAAAACTCTGAAGCCTCCTCTAGATACATTTCAAACCATGTCCTCTCTCTCTCCACCAATTCTTCCCTTATCCTTCTGTTCCATATCCGTAATCATCTTCAGAGCATCTGCTTCATTCCCTTGGAAATTGATCCCCAATAGACTTCCCATTTGAACAGTAGCTTCAGCTTCTTTTAGGATTAAACTTCCTTCCCCATAGCCGTTGCCAAGATGAGGTGTAGGTAGAGTTGCTAAAGCTGCCACTGCTGGTCTGAAAATAACCCTCTTACAACCCTTCTTGCTTGATGACACAACTTTACGGCTAAGATTTTTAACAAAACCTGAGAATCCACCCATTTACATTTGATTGCAATGCCCTCCTTTTCTTTTTTCTTCCATTTTACCTTTACCTTTCAAAATCTCCTTTCCCCTCGAAATTTCCTTCTTCTGATGGTTCTGGGTTGATTGATTTCTCCTAACATTTGGCCTGGAGTGGACACAACTCTCATTGGGCCTATCAACAACTTTCATGATGATTTGGCTTTTATCTAGGCCTATTTTATCCACAGACCCAGGTAGCCCATGATTGACAGGTTGATCTTGGCCTAAAAAAACCTCAAGGTTGATTCCCGGCCAATCTTTGCTTGATCCAGCAATGCACTTAATGAAGCCTGGAGTATACACCTG